GTTCTTGTATAAAAAAAGGTCATATTAAAAAACCAAAAAAAACACGGTGTTAAAATTCACTGACGTGAGAAAAGAGGGAGGATCATCTTCTCCCTTCCTCTTGTAGATCCAGTTGATTGATGATTGGTATCTTCAATCCGGTAGAACGAAAACCCGGGGAAAAACAATCCGCGTCATATAGCACGGAGGGCCTGGCAAGGACAGCTGTCTAGTCGTTCGGATGGGATAAAAAAACCGAGGTCCCGTGTACATATTGGCGTGCACGTAAAAGATCCCTTGACAGTTGGAATTATATATAAGAGTAGGTCGTAGTGCCGCTGCCCGGGCAAAATTTCCCTCATACCACACTGTATGGATGCCCGTCTTCATTAGCCCAGTTCGGAGCACAACAGTAGGACGTTAAACCCCATTTCATTTCATTTCATTTTTTAAAAACCACAATGCTGGACCTGCGGATTTGACTGACTGATTTGGTTCTATATATGAAGATGCGTTACCTGTGGCATTAATCCTATGATCTATCTCCAAGCAAACGGTATGTTAAAGGAGCTAAATGGCTAATATTTTGGACCTAGAAATTGACACAAATGGGTCGCAACGCATATAATAATGTAATATGAATGTATATAAACTGATTTACATTCAAACGTTTCGGTTTTTACTCTAATTTCAAATCAGTTATGTTCCGCGAAATATGCCAGGAGTCTCAATCGAATGACAATCTCTAGCGTCTGGTTATTCTAGTCTACATAGTATTTATTGCGCATACTCTCCAGATAGGAATATGACGTCACCGTTTGACATGACTTGTGCAAATATGTTTAGCCTCGTTCTTCGAGTCCTTTGTTACAAATGGCACTGAAAAGCATTATGGTACACGATTCGTGTACCAATGGTAAAATCTTTATTTTGTGTTAAATATTGGATATCAGAGGCCCATCTTTTCCTGGTAAGATCACTACATCAGTGTTGATTTAAATTGACCAATAATTTGTGTTTTCAATGTCGAAGACTTTGGATGATATTGAGTTAAAAGACTTAGCTACTTTAACTAAACCGGTTAAGCCCGTGGACGTTAATTAAAATTTAATAAAACAGATGAAAGTGGAGACAGGTGATTTGGGGTAATTAAGATAAATTAAAGTACTGCGGATTATATATATACATCAATGGATCTAATTCACTAAATGTGAGAATAATAATTATTTTGATGTCATTTCATCTGTATTTATATTATAATCTTTGTTTTGCTCATGAGAGTTTTGTGTTTTCAATTTCATTAGCGTGGTCTTTTCTATGGGAGGAAACCGGAGTACCCGGAGTAAACCCACAAGGTTGAGCAGGTGCCCCTATCTGCAAGCCAGGGATCGAAACCAAAAATGCAAGCCAGAGGTGACCGGCCAGCTAGAGGTCGACGCGTGACACTCTAGACTACTAGGACATCCCAACCCCCCTCTACTGTTCTGCTCCGACTGGGATAATACAGGCGGAGAGAGAAGGGAGGTTTAACGTCCACTCGGCACAGACTAGGTCATTTCGGGACTGACTCATGGTTCAATTTTATTTCAACAATTTGCTTGAGCGTAGGGGTCTTAAGCAGTGGGAGGAAACCGGAGGACCCGGAGAAAACTCACGAGGTTAGACAGGCGATCCTACTCCTTGTCACGTACAACCGGGAATCGAAACCACGCCAGTTGACTCAATGACAGGACTTGTGGTACAGCGCGCACGTGCTAACCATTCGGCCACCCAACCACCCTTATAAAGGCGGATGTAGTAGTTTGTTTGTATTTCGTCTGCTTCCGGCTTATCTCGTGATACTACCCGCGGTCCTTTATATACTGTTTGATGTCATCCAGAGATTTTCGAATAATTTTGATAGAGTGTTTTGGGTGTTTTTTACTAAAAGAGTTCCACAAGAAATCAATTTTTTCAACAATTTCTTCTCGGATCCCCAATAAGGCTGTGTGGTTCTACATACCACAAAATTTCTGAAGTGGGCATACTCCCCCCCCTCTCTCTCTCTTTCTCTCTCTCCCCACCCTCTCTCTCTCTCTCTCCCCCACCCCTCTCTCTCCCTCTCTCTCTCTCTCTCTCTCCCCCTCTCCCTCTCTCTCCCTCCCCCTCTCTCTCTCCCCCCACCCCTCTCTCTCTCTCCCTCCCCCTCTCTCTCTCTCTCCCCACCCCTCTCTCTCCCCCTCTCTCTCTCTCCCCACCCTCTCTCTCTCTCCCTCCCCCTCTCTCTCTCCCCACCCTCTCTCTCCCCCTCTCTCTCTCTCTCCCCACCCTCTCTCTCTCCCCCCACCCCTCTCTCTCTCTCCCTCCCCCTCTCTCTCTCTCTCCCCACCCCTCTCTCTCTCCCTCCCCCTCTCTCTCTCTCTCCCCACCCGTCTCTCTCTCCCTCCCCCTCTCTCTCCCCACCCTCTCTCTCTCTCTCTCTCTCTCATACATTTATTTTTTTATTTTGTGCTTGAAAATGTCCAGTCAAGGTTTTGTTACGTTTCCGTACTTCAGACTGAGCTTTCATAATATTTCCCTGCACCCAATATCTAAAATGACTTAAATGATATTATAATAACTGATATGAAATACAATGTAAGTTTATTTATACAATAGTTGAATACATACAAATATACTGAATACATAAATAGTCTTTCAAATATAACTGTGCGCACACAGTACCTCGCTAGCCTGGAGGTCGGGATTTCGATCCCTGCATTGGCCGAGAAAGTTCATCCAGATTTTCCGGCGTGGTTCCCCCTTGTCAGTGATACAGGACGGAGGGCCTGACAAGGACAGCTGTCTAGTCTTTGGGATGAGACGAAAAACCGAGGTCCCGTGTATACATTGGAATGCACGTAAAAGATCCCTTGGCAGTTGGATTTCGATAGAAGAGTAGGCGATAGTGCCGCTGCCCGGGCAAAATTTCCCTCATAGCACACTGTATGACATATGCCCGTCTTCATTAACCCAGTATAGGAGCAGAACAGTAGGACGTTACCCCATTTCATTTCACTCACACAGTACACCGACAATCAGACATATAATGCTAGGTTGCGACTATCATGATTCGTGCTACGATTGAAATTGTGGTTTGTAATCGTGAAGTAATCATAGTGATCCTATCAGGTCTTATCATATACTGAGGCCAGTCGTAGCAATCGCGTTGATCATATCGAAACGTATTTACACCTGGACTCAATAGGAACAGTCCTATCGCAATGTATCGCACGACAGTGGGAACCCAATCTCATTAAAACACAGATCCTATTTCGTTTCGTTTTTATAATTCAAAATTCCGTTTGACTTGTCTTTACTACACTAGGATCTGGAAGAGTTGTTATCATTGACGTGTTCTGAATGATGTGAGGGATAAGCCAATGAAACGGCGAGCTTTTTCACGGAACTGTTGGTAATCCACTAGTAACATCAATGCTGATTGGTTAATCAAATGTCTAACGTCATAGGGTCAAAAGACGTTTGTACGACCTCTGACGCGACGTTCCACTACAACTGGTCAGATGTTCATGTAGTGTAGGCCATCGAAAGTATATATAAAACGAAACGAAATATAGATCTGTATTATAATCAGATTGGTGGGAACCTGGCATTACTAATCTATTCAGTACTGAATTTAGCACCACAATTCGTACCCCCTACTTTGATGCTTCGTACCCCCAGGGGGTACACGTACCCCTGGTTAAGAATCACTGGAATAGACGCTGTACCCTGCCATACCCTCCGTTCTGTACCACGGACAAGGGCAAACCACGCGGATAGCGTCCGCGGAACTATCTCGACCAACACCGGATGTTGGCCGAGAAAATTCATCGGAATTATTGCAGTATTGCAGGGCCTGGCAAGGGACAACATATAGTCGTTCGGATAAGACGAAAAACCGAGGTCCCGTGTTCACATTGAAGTGCACGTAAAAGATCTCTTGACAGTAAGCCGTAAGCATACATTTCTCTCAAAGCACTTCCCGCATATGCTCGCACGTGTCTTCATTAGCCGACTAGGAAGTTAAACCCCATTCTATTTCATTTCTCCGTTAATCTCTCTTAGCTAACCATTGAATTGACAGCTTTGTCTATTTAATCTGAACTGCTATTGTCAGTGATGTCTGTAGTTGAGAGATACGTATATTCCAATTTTTATCACCCCGTCCCACTCTTCTGTTTCGACTGGGCTGACAAAGACGGAAGAAATAAGAAAAATGAAATGAAATGGAGTTTAACGTCCTACTGTTCTGCTCCTAACCTGGGCTAATGAAGACGGGCATACGCCATACAGTGTGCTATGAGGGAAATTGTGCCCGGACAGCGGCACTACGGCCTACTCTTATATCGAATTCCAACTGCCAAGGGATCTTTTACGTGCACGCCAATGTGTACACGGGACCTCGGTTTTTCGACCCATCCGAACGACTAGACAGCTTTCCTTGTCAGCCCCTCCGTCCTGTATCACTGACAAGGGAGAACCACGCCGGAAAATCTGGATGAACTTTCTCGGCCAATGCAAGGATCGAACACCCGACCTCCAGGCTAGCGAGCTAGCGTCTTACCCACTTCGCCACGTGATCCCCGGAAGAAATAAGAGAACAGCTTTAAAATCCGTGAATAAGAGAACAGCTTTAAAATCCGTGTGAATGAAAGGCGAAGTTACCAAATTTAATAGCACACACTTTGACTAAAAGGCGGACAACAATACATTAGTGGGCGTTATGTTTATCAACTATAAAACGTAGGCGGTCCAGGGGGAATTATATAATACTGTAGAACATGTCTCATATTTAAGAAAATCTGTTTTTAATATAAAATAACTTGAAAGTATTTTTTGAAAGCAACAAGTGGGCGTGGCACTAGTTAAGACTCGTGTATAAATAACGAACGATGAATGGACGGTGTAGCAGAATGAAAATAATGATTCTTGCGTGCCAAAGTAACTGCTTTATGCAAGTTTGTGCATTATAGGCGATTTAACTAACACGAACGGCGCAACAGATCGTTCTGTATGACGAGTGGCGTTCAACGACGGGGTATAGTTTTATATATGTGTATATATAAGCAGACACTTCTTCATTCATAGAACAGTGATCACATCGTCATATCGATCACACCGTATTGTAAACACAGTTGGTTGGCTGGAAAAACATCGACTATATATAAATATATGCATATTATACTCTACTGATTTAATTCACTTTTACTCTTTTCAGAATAAGTGGAAATTAGTCAAAAGGCTAAAAATTTCGGAATGACGGAAATTCTCTACGGGGGTGCCAGAAACTGTTTATTTGTTAACCTAGAAGCGTTGATTAACTGAAAAGTTAGAAAAACTTTTGGCGAAATCATCTTAAGTCTTGAATGATATATTCCCAATGGGAACTGGATCAAGATACAATTAGTAAGTTGACTATATCTAGGAGAAGTGAGCGGTGTTATTTAGCTAATTGCGGTCTCTTTGGAGTTCTATCTATAATCAGTGAAGATGGATGGCTTGGTTGACGGCGGTTTATCTGGTGACAGTCATTCAGTGTTGGCCTTAACATCTCAGGCGATAAACTTGACTCTTAACCTGCCGCTGGCGAATAACAGGACACCCGAGGTGGAAGAAAATCCGATGGTCTCGACCAGCTATATCGCTATTTTTTCAACTTTATTTTGTGTTGTGGGGTTTGTCGGAATTATCGGCAACTTTATGGTCATTTACATCATTCTAGCGGATCGAAAAATGCGAAAATCTGTGACAAATATGCTTATTCTGAACTTGGCAATTGCTGATTCAATAATCATGTTATTTGGAGTTCCCGAAATTGTACTATTCATGCTTAATAGGGGCTGGCTGATGGGATTGGTTATGTGTAAATTACAGAGGACCCTACTCGTCTGTGGTCTGTATTCCTCAGTGTTAACCCTTGTTGCGGTCTGTGTTGAAAGGTAAGCTTTAATACTTTAGGCGTTTATTTTTTTAGAATGTTGCAGATAATAGATCTGCCATTTATTTAAGAGCGACCATTACTTTTAGGAGAGAGAGAGAGAGAGAGAGAGAGAGAGAGATTAACGTCCACTCGACACAAACCAGGTCATTTCGGGACTAACATATGATTCAATTTTATTTCAATAATTCGCTAGCGCGTAAGGGATTTTAGTGGGGGAAAAGCCACGAGGTTGGACAGGCGACCCTACTCCTTGCCACGTACAACCGGCGAATGGAAACCACAGACTCAATGACAGACCTTATGATACAGCGCGCACTCGCTAAACATTCGGCCATCTACCCCCACCCCCTTTTAGGACACGCACAACTGTCTAATCGTTAAGATGGGACTAAAATACGAGATCCCGTGGATACATTGGCGTGCACGTAAAAGATCCCATGACAGTTGGGATTCGATAGAAGAGTAGGCCGTAGCGCCGCTGTCCGGGCAAAATTCCCTTTATATCACACTGTACGGCGTATGTCCGCCTTCTTATCCAGATTGGCGCAGACGTGCAGGACGTTAAACCCTATTTCAGTTTTACTTTAAGAATGTTATATGGCAGAATGGTCTAAAGCATTGCGCTCATATTAGCGCTAGCATGCGTTTTTCATGTACCGCGATCGTACCACAGGTGTAGTCCCTATATAGAGCTAATAAACTACTGATTTAATTGCTGTACTAATTACTTAAGCTCTCTCTCTCTCTCTCTCTCTCTCTCAATCTCTCTCTCTCTCCCTCTCTCTCTCTCAATCTCCATAATTAAAAAACCTTAAACATGAAAGGGAAAACTAATTAACCATTAGAGATGAATATTGATTTCGATTTAAATCTAATTCCAAAAAAACACCTTGCGGTTTCTATAACATGAGCTGATTAAAGACAGAGACACACCGGTTGATCATCAAAGACAAATCCTAGCAAAAGTCGTATAGGATTTATCACGTAAGTTATTGTTCGGCTAGGTTCCTAGTAAAAATGCTGGACGGAGGGCCTGACAAGGACAACTGTCTAATCATTCGGATGTTACAAGTAAAATATCCCTTGGCAGTTGGAATTCGATATAAGAGTAGGCCATGGTGCCACTGCCCTAGCAAAATTTCCCTCATAGCACACTGTATGCCTACACGAATAAGATCTGTTCTATAATTTCTACCATGTTGGAAAAGGGTGCTGCTAGGTTTCTATGTAAAATCCTCCTTAAGTAGGGTCTGTTTTATACACTAGGTCCTGATGAGAAGAGTTGCTGCGTTGATATTAGGTAAAATCCTACATGAATAGGGTCTGTTCTATACCTTACGGTTTTACGTAAGCCAAATAATGGTAACTTATAAGACAAACTGGTGCTGTTCACAAGAAAGAATCTGTCCTATGAATTCTCAAGATAAAACCTCCAGTTTAACCAGGGCCTAACTATACGCTGCTGGGGGTACAGATCGTATGCTAGTGTATACTTCTCATAAGGAAGTAAGATCTGTTAAAATCGGTTAATTCGTGTCTGTTCTGCCAAGGGCATTCCATGGCAACGTCTGGATGTTCGACTAATTCCCTATGTCCGATATATTTCACGATGCCTCGTGTGAAATACGTCCATCTGTAGACGGCACCGTTAGGTATATGTCATCTTAAGTTTTAGTAGCCATTGCTCACCCTAAGATCACTCTGGGTCAGTTATTGTTGGTGGTCGCTACGATCACCGCGTGTTAATTGACTCACAATTTTTTTTTCTTCTGCAAATTAAATTTTTAAACATTAAAGAAAAACAATTAATGTGTTGGAAGTAAGGATAGATAAAAAAAAATAGTTCTGCTTTAAACATACATTATGCAAGAGCTAAATCTGTCTATTGCAGGTCTTTCTTTAGTCCTGAAATGTTATCTAAATTATTAATTAGGCATTAATTAACTTATCCAGACTGTAATCTAGATGGCATCGCTAGCCTGCGAGCTTAAGTGGATTGTGATTCGATTTACTGCATAACTTTCCTTCTCGATTAAACGATTAAATGGATAATCGAGACTATGCTGTTTAACGTACTGACTTTAGTAATGATGACCGAGACTAGGCAGATATTTTATTCGCTTAGTTCTCGGTTCATAGTGGATCAATTTGAATGAAAATTTCAGCAAATTGCCTTTACGTTATCTAGTTTTTAATTATTATAGTGAGAACTGCCAACTCGTTATCGAATCTCCCATAATGTATCTTTAACCTATCCAGACCATAATCAACTCTCGATGTCAACGCTAGCCTGTGATATTTACTGGATTTGAATCCAATTTGCTGCTCAACGCTCAATGATGATTAAATCCAAAAATGGATAATCGAGACTACGTTTTTTTTATCGTACTGACTTTAGTAATGATGATCGGGGCTAGGCCTAAAATTCAAAAGCTAATACCTCGGTTCAGAGTTCTTTATCTAATCTCCCATAATCCCCCTTTAACTAAAGTTGTTTTGTGCAGTACTGATTATTTTAGACATTTATACCAAAACACAGGATATATATATATAAATAAATATACTTCTCTGTTATTTAATAACGATATTTCGTAACACATAAAGGTCACGTTTTCAAGTTAATGATAAATATCCATCTAGTCAGCCTATTTATTCATGTTTTAGCTTAAATATCAAACAAATAAATAACCAGAAGAAACCATTAAAATTATTAAAAGCAACCATAATGACAATAATAAGACAAATAATAATAGATAACTGATACCTAGTAGTAATAATAGACAATTATTACCTGAGATGTTGACAGTAACAGTGATACTAAAGATAACTGATACTTAGTAGTAATAATAGACAATTATTACCTGAGATGTTGACAGTAACAGTGATACTAAAGATAACTGATACTTAGTAGTAATAATAGACAATTATTACCTGAGATGTTGACAGTAACAGTGATACTAAAGATAACTGATACTTAGTAGTAATAATAGACAATTATTACCTGAGATGTTGACAGTAACAGTGATACTAAAGATAATTAGTACCTAGTTGTAATAATGGGGTTTAATCTCACTGTGCCCCCCAATCAACTGGTGTTATAGGGTAGTGGTGTGAAAATTTAAGTAAACAAAGGATTATAGACTGTATCCTTATTAGTACTGTTCACCTAGTTAAAATTTAATTATTTTAATGATTAAAATATATAAGTTAAGTTCACGTGTCATCGGTTAACGAGTATCTTAAATATTATTGACCTACCTTTCATTCAGACAGTACTCATAAATCAATCAAATATATGATTAGAAACTCACTATCATTATATAAGGATAGTTGTCACCCCAATTACATTATATCTTTTAAAATGGCTCAAGTTCGCATAGGGTTTATTCCTAATTCCCAAGGAGGTCAAAATTTAGTTAATTATACGAAACCCAATAGCACCTGCAGACTTTTACTGAAAATACAATAGTTCAATTGGATAACGGGGGACGATTGCCCCCTAATAGACGAAAATATAAAAGAGTAGAAGAATCTATTAATGATCTAAAAATCAAACTGTTAAATGTAGTAAAAAGTGCAATTGAATATACTGACGCCATATCACATTTAGTAGGGTTATGATTTATAATTGATACATGTATTTGTTGTTACTTTTATGAAATTTATTGTGAATAAAGTTGTTAATTAGTTTAAACCTAGTAGTTTAAAAAAACAGACTATACTTTTAACACCATTGTATTCGATAATCCCCTTGCTTGATTAATCCCCCCATGAGAACAATAGCAGGGGGCACAGTGAGATGTCCCCAATAATAGATAATCACTACCTGTAAGTATTGTTTAATGGTCGAGAGCGAGACATTAAGTAATATATTGTAACAACATGAGGGCCGTGAGGCCCGAATGTTTTTACAATATATTACGCAATGTCTTAAGCTCGAGACCATTAAACAACTTAAAATACAGACACTTGCACGTGCTTTGCAATGAAATACGTCACTCGAGTTCAATATTTTACGAAGTTACGCTTGGCACATTGCCCGTACGATTATTTGAAATAATGGTACTCCAACATCAAAGGATGACGTCACATCTGTATTTTAATAATAGATAATCACTACCTGGGCAGATGTTGACAGTAACAGTATTTTAGACATGTTTTTTTTCTGTTTTGTTTCTAAATTCTTTCCATTGAACGCTGATTTGATAAAAAAAGAAAAGCGGAGTGGGGGTTCTTAATGATGCATTATGTAAGATTTAAATCTGCCTATTACAGGTCTAGCTTTGGGCCTCCGGGGGTTGGATGGCCGAAGGGTTAGCGCGTGCGCGCTGTATCATAAGGTCTGTCATTGAGTCAACTGTGGTGGTTTCGATTCCCATGTTGTACGTGATAAGGCGTTGGGTCGCCTGCCCAACCTTGTGGGTTTTCTCCCGGTCGTCCTCCGGTTTCCTCCCACTGCAAGCGGATTATTGAAATAAAATTGAACCACATGTTAGTCCCGAAATGACCTAGTTTGTGTTAAAACCCATCTCTCTCTCTCTTTCTCTCTCTCTTTCTCTCTCTCCCTCTCTTTTTCTCTCTATCTTCTTTTGGCCTCAAATCTCATATGAATTATTCAGTTATTCATTAAAACATTTATTTACATGACAAGTCCATAATCAACCCTCTGGACCGTCGGGTGGTTGTAATTTTGAACGGATTACAACACGATCGCATTAATAATTTAATATAAAAATGGAAAATCGAGACGACGATATTCTTAAACAGTCCTAACTTCGCTAGGAATGAAGTAATTTGACTGGAAATTTCAACATTGCCTTTTCATTATCTCTATTTACACTATAATAGGCGAACCGTCCGCTCTTTATCTCAATGCATATTTAAAAAACGAATATCGCACTATATTGGACCTGGTTATATCGATACCTAGTTATATCGATACCTGCTTATATCGACGGCTGGTTATATCGATAACTGGTTATATCGACTCCTAGTTAT